TAAATTGTATAATTAAATAAAAAAGTTGTAAAATATTAAGAAGCAATCAAAAAATTTTAACAATAATTTTAATAATAAGAAAAATTTAATTGTATTATTAAAAAATGAGATTATATATAAAATATTGAAATGAATTTTGATTGTATTTTAGATATAATAATAAGATATATAATTTATTATTAATTAAATAATTATTTGCACTAACTAATTTAAATTATTTGTAATAAATTAATTAATTTTTTTAATTTTAATAATAAAGATAAATTTAGTTTTCTTTTATTAAAATGTGAAAAAGAATTATTTATTATTTAAAAGTATTTTATTCATAGGCTCATTACTAAGGGAAAAATCTAGTATAGTATAAATAAATAATAGCCAAAATTTCAATAATCTGATCATTATTATACCAAAATAGTCAATATAATTAATACAATTAAACAATTTGTTATTATCCAAAAATGGTAAATAGATTGATACAAAATAAACAAAATGTAAACTCATAAATAAATTAAAATGAAATAAACAAAATGTAAATATATGAGATCACACAATTCAAAACATTTTTATACAGGTAATCTAAATGTTACTGATTGATATAGATATTTTTATAATATAGATTAATTGTATTTTTAATAAAATATTTAATTAATTTTAAAATACAGTAACAAGTAAAATTAAATAATATTAATAAATAAAAATTACTTACTAACTATTATATTATATATTATTATTTTTTTAAATTATATTAACAAGTATAATTAAATACTAATAATCAATAAAAATAATTTATTATCTATTGCATTATTAATTAATTATTTTTTTTTAAATAAAAATATAGTTGACTTTAAATTATTATTATAATTAATTACATTATAAATAATTTTATAAATAAAAAATTTAGTAAAAATAACTTACGCTTTATATTATTAAAAATTTTTAGATAACAGTTTAATTAAATTTAAATTGTATAATTTAAAGTATAATAAAAATATATAGTTTACAATCTATATATTATCATCATTAAATTTATTTTTTTTAAAAAAAAATATTTATATTAATTAAAAAAGAATTATAAATTTATTGAAAATAATTAATTACTATGGTTATTACAAATCTAATATTTAAATGTTCTTTACTTTCTAACCTTTGAATAATTATTAAGCATAAATAATAGATTATTATATTTGTTGATAATTATATTTGTTATTGTATTTATCTTCACCACTAGAGATACTAGTATAATATTTCAAGTTAAAATTTTTAGTAAATAAAAATATAAATGACAAATATAATATTATGGTTATTATTATATTTACTTTCAATATCCAAGATTAATTCTACATTATAAATTATAATTAACAAATTCTTTTAGTATTGGTTAATTATTTATAGAATTGTTGTATTTAACTTCATCAATTGAAACTGATTCTATATTCGAATTTGATAAAATTTAATTTTTAGGAACAAAATGAATATAATTAACGAATTAAAGTATGGTTAATAATACAAGTATTACCTACTAATGAGGAAGCTTTTTTAGCATCATAAACTAGTTCTAACGTAATTCATGAAAAGAATTTAGATTAGAATATCATTCAACCGTCAAATTAACTCATTTTTGTTTTATAACTTTATTCCTTTTCTTGTTTAGTGAAAATATATTTGAGTACACTCTTACCAGACATTGTTATAATTTATAATAAAAAATAATTTTTTTTAAAAAAACATTTATTTCAAATTATCTTATATAACGATAAACAGAATGCAATAGTAATACAACGTTTAAAAATAATTACAAATCATTGGTAATTGAAAGCGTTGATGCCTGAAATGCGCATTACATGTACAACAGTGATAATTTGAATCGGAAAAAATTTTGTTCTAATTAGATACAAATAATTTTCATCGCATTATGAAGATAAAAATTACGAGGCACGTTAGCGATGATCATTTGTCGATCATCATCATTTATTATATTTTTGTGTGCAAAGAATTATGTGTTTGAAGTCTAATTGCATCTCTAGTTGTCTGATAATTACGAACAATTATGAATGCTTTGGTATGTTGTACAAGATAAAAGAACGTTACTTCGTATAAAGTTTATACTGCGTCATCAATTTGTGCTCCGCATAAGAGCTTTTTTTTTCGTCATTAATTTTTTATATTTACTGCTCCCGAACTTGATGATATAAATCAATTACCAATCCGTTCTTCGCATCTCTGTTTTTACTGCGGCAACGATCTGAGGTACTACAATATTTATTTATTACCGCGCCAACTATTGGGATGTGTTAGCTCGTTAAATGGATGCGATTGCCGATCGAATTTATTAAACGATTATGACGTAAAAGAAAAACCTGCAATTATTGTCTAACTCTTCTCTGTAAATGGCTTTAAGAGAAGATATCCAAATTTCTTCCTAGACACCATGTATAAATAAATTTTTAAAGTACTTATCACGTGTATTACAGTTGCAAACTAGGATAAGAGCCTGAACCTGGGGTATCTTTTAAGGAAGCCTTAAATTAATAATAGATTCCTTTGTTTTAAGTGATGCTGAACAGGCCATTAAACCTTGGAAGAAACCTCCATTTTAGACTTAAGTTCGATCCCGTTGCAAGATAACGTGATCTTAAAAAAATCTATCGCCCATCAAATGGTAGTGAACTTGATTTTTATTGTAATCTATAGATCCTATCAAATGGTTATGAAATCCATCGATCTCGTAGCAAAACAATTCTGGTTGAATTTTGATTCTGGCGAGATCTGGAAGAAAATTTTTCTTTAATTATTACCTTAAATTGGATTCATTCGGTCTGCTTTTTCAAATTGAACGATAATATATAATTTATAATTTGAAATAAATGAGTAAATGATAAGAAAATATGAAAAGAATAAAATTTGTAAATGATTTATGAATAAAATACCGTAACAAATGATTTTAATTGGAAAACTATTAAAAGAATGATTAAAATCATATAATTTATTATAGAAACATCTTGATATCGCGAGCAGAAAGCTCGAAAAAAATTTAAACAATGTAAAATAAGAATTAGTTAGAAAAAAATGGTTTATAAAAAAAATGTACAATAACTTAATAACTTCACCAAAGGAATAAATACATATGTTCAAAATGTAAAAAAAAATAATTGGCGTTAGAAAAAATTGTAAACATGTAAAATTTAAAGTAACTTACCAAAAACGAGTTAATGCTAAAAATGGGCTTATTAGAGGGATAATCATGACAACTTACAACGCCGTACAATGATCATTTGCCTTTTGTTGTAATTAGGGATGATAGGTCATTTCAATAGCTAACCAAAAAAATAAAAAGTAAGTACACAAGGTGTTTTATCATCATTAATATTTTCTACAATTTGGTCACCATACCAATGATTATTTTCTCATGCGGTGACAGTATTACAAATATCTATTTTTTAAAAAAAGTTATGTTAGTTAGTCCTTCGTATAAGTTAGACAAAACTCTAACTCTAACGAAACAACTAATAAATTTCTAACACACGAACAAGTATATTCCGCAAGACAATAAACAGGTGTTATTTTTCCCATTTTAATTTTTTAATAATACGACATAACCGATTAATCGGATCGAATTATAATCGTCACGAATTTCAGAAGGCCAAGCAATTATTTTTTGTCTGATTCACGACTGAAATCAATTTGCGTATGTTAAAAAATACTTTTATTTTTATTTTATAATAAGACAATTGTTGACGCAATGAGTATATTGGAAAACGCACCAACTCTTAATTTACATATTTTTTTATTTTTTAAAAAAAAACGAACAATTCTTGTCAATTTAATTAAGAATAAGCATCTTTATTTAATAAGATGATGGATTTCAAGCATTATTACCATTATCATTATTTTTTTCCGGAAGGCGAATAGTGACAAATTTGATTATTAAAGAAGCGAAGAATAATATGAGAATCAGCCACATGATGCATAAATTTGCAAGTCTAGCTTGACAAGTTTTATAAAACAAGCGGTTAACGTAATCATGACAATAATATGAACGATCTCCCGTTTCATGTGCGGTAAGACCAATGTACAAAACTGTTAAAAAGAAAGTTTGATGTAAATAATCTTTTTTTTTTTTTGGAGTTAAATATGACTGGGGTGGCAAACTTACAGAGAACTGGCGTCGTAATCGCAGATGCACTTTTGATTAATCAAAGTTTTGACAAATTAGTTCATGGTGGCAAGATTATTTGTATACAGTTTCAATAGAAATAATTTACCAATTAATTATATAAACAAAGTTGAATTCTCTTTGGAAATAATAAAAAGAATAGATTGCAACTACAAAATAAGAAATAATTAATATATAGTTAATACTTTACAATATTTTTTTTTCTTAAAATTTAAAGCTTACCATTAAGCCCTAATGAGTAAATCAAGTATCTATAAAAAAGATGATTATATGATCAGGGTCATAAATCTTAACTTTGAAATTCTCAGTATCAAAAATCCTTACATGTAATCCATCGGATTTAATTTGAATTCACCATCTGTTCTATCAAACCAATTTATTTTTGCGCATTCTGATATTTTTTTTTTTTTTTTTTACAAAAAAATGACTTAATTCCGTCAGCTATAATAAAAAAAAAAGAGTAAAGAAAAGGAAAGAATAAAGAATACGAACCTGCACAAAAACTCATAAAAAAAAAGAGTGTTAAAAGACCAATATATGAATTATATAGTATTTCTCCGGAATTTAAACACAGATTCATTTAGATTATTTGTTTTTTATAAAAAAGATATTTTTTTTTTTTTTTTTGTTTAAACAAAGACACTAAAAATCATTTAAATGGTTGCCGAATTGGGTTGACGCCCAAGTAGATCTTAATTTATGTTTATGTGTGCCAATTTCAAATGAAATCCTAAAAATCGCTTATAAACTGCAAATCGGTTTTTTTTTTTTTCATTTTGGATTTGCAAAAAAAAACTCTTTTTAACCAAATTTTACATTAAAAATTATGGCTGATCTAAATAATAATAATGAAATTAACGAAATTCAAAAATTCGTGAATTTATGGTCAGAGACCTATAAACCACTTGCCTGGACCAGTATAGTTTATTTTGTATTTTGGTATCCTCCATGGACTTTATTTTGTCTTGCTTGGGTGACATTCACTGCTTTGATAAGTCTTGCTTCGTTGATAATCCCTCCTTTGGGTTATTGCTTTTGCATAGGGTCGGTAATATCTTGGAGGTACATAATTTATTATAAATAAATTTCACCTAATTTTCTATATTTTTATTTTTTTTATTTTGTTTTTCTAATTTATTTTTTAACGTCCTACTTTTTTTCTTTTTTTTCCGAATAGATCATTGGCAAGGATTGAGCTGCTAACAGTGTCATATTGTATAAATCCAAAAAATTTTATCAAAGACTCTATCACAGAAATAGAGCGTAACGGAGGTCTTTTTTATCCAATCACTAAAATTTCACCCACGAGAACTGCTTTTCCTGGTTACATACAATTTGGTGCTGAATTTGTTTCCCATCAACATACCAGAAATTGTTTCTTTTATTTTACGTTTTATAAGACATTTACCTTATTATTATTCGTCGTGTTATTTCCGGTATTTTTATTAATAAGTTTACCCCCTTTCACATTATTTGGTTTACCATTGGCTTTTAAATTTACTAGAAAGTTTGGTGAAGAAATAGTTGTTCATGCTAGGTATTTCTTGGCACCTGGTTGGAGATTTAATGGAAGAAATCAAAATCAAAATCTAGATCAAACTCAAATTCCGAATCAAACCCAAATTCAAATAAATCGAGAAATTCAAAATTAACCAATTCAAGATCAAATGCAAAAGATCTAAATCAAGATCGAAATCCATGAATTTACTGACAATCCTTTAAATTGGATTGGAATTACTTTCTTTCTTTTTTTTTTTGTTTTTGTAAATTAGATTATCATTTCATTGATTTAAAAAATTCACTCTTTTATAATTGCTTTGGATTATAAATTTATACTGTATGTCAAAACGAAATCAGCATGAAAATTATTGATATTTTTTTTTTTTATCACAACAATGAATTATATTAAGCGAGTTCGTCGGCAGAAATAATCTGATTTATTTAACACCACACCACTTACTGTAAATAAATTTTATGGTATAAAGTTTAAATCTTGTAAAATTTTGTTGCTCCAATTAATAGAAATCAAAAATCAAAAATCAATGTTATAAATATTAAACCTTTTGGTGTCAAATGAACTGGCATCAATGTATATGATGTGATAAATGTAACGCTAGAATCGCCACCGGATGTTATATTATAAGAAGAAAAAAGAAACTGATCTAGCTATAAATATCACATCACATCCTATGTCAACGATAATAAGGAAATGTTAAAAAGGGCAATCTTTCGGTAAGTTGGTCAATTATTTCCTCCGGTAAATCTGGTAAGTCTCCATCAAAAACAAAATTTCGAAGGTAGCAATAACGTAAAGAAATTTGTTTATAACGTAATTTTTATTGATAGGTGACAGATTCAGCATGCTTTTACTAGGTAATGTCCTATACTTCTTTTAAAAAAAAAAATTTATGTCTATCATATTAGTTTTGGAAAAAATAAAAAATAGTACGTTTGTTCTTGACCCATTTACAATCCCTATGAAAATATTTAATAAATTAACCATTCACGAAAAAGCAATCCTCGATAAGATAACTGAAATTGTTGACAAGATTGAAAAATAAGTCTATTAACGATAAAGAGAACGTAAGTACCTTCTCGTCTGAAATGCAAAAGTTAAATATGACAAAAATAATAGAATTTTATTAATATCTTTTTTTTTGTATTGATTTTTAATAAACGTTTTTTATGATAACGGGATAATACTTCGAATATTAAGCATAATTATACTAGTTTCATAAATATTTGATCTGGTTCAATTTTCCGCCAGAATTAAGATTTATATTTTACAAAATAATTTCACTACCTCCTCTCGACAAATTTTTAAATGCCTACCTGAGTTAAATTTTAAACTGTTAATTGTATGGTCGGTTAGCTACTTTCTATAATGACTTTAGAGGATTCATTATACTTCTTGATTTACAAAAAAGAAGGACTTTTAATAATAAACTTGCAATAAAGTTAATATTACTTTCTAAAATATAAATTCACAGGTATAAATTATGTTTAATAATTATTAATTTTACTATTTAACGTTAAAAAGGAATTTAACGGTCATGACATTTGAAACTGTCTGTTCGTCTATCCAATTCTGAATAATTTAAAATACAAATTTTAAATTTTTTTTTTATCTTTTTCGTTGAGGAGTAAATGGAAAAAAGTCGAAACCCTATATTTCGACGAATTTGTTAATAAGTATATAATATAGTTTTGACTTTTGAAGGGATTTTATTATGTTTTCGAGTTTCTACGGGTTGGCCAATAAGGTTTATTACAGTTTTGCCAATGACCCCGTCGAGTTTTGCCAGGCAACTATAATCACAACATTCGACAGATTAAAAATTCACATTTATATCATATGATTTACTGTTGACTTTTAATGAAAACGACCTGATTCTATAATATCTTTTTATAATAAAAAGTTCATATTGTTCATTTTTATAAGATTTGGAAGATTAAATTATTATTTTTTACATCTTATATTTTTTTTACGTCACGTAATCACTCAACTCGAGTAAATTTATTTAATTTTAAATATAAAGATATATAAATGTAAAGTAAATAATAAAAAAAGTATGATCGATAAAGAGAGTATATTAAAACAGGATTCTTCTTTAACAAAGCCACTTCATATTAAATTTTTTGCCAATCTAGTAAAATGATTAACTAAATGGATTTTATTGGCGGAATGAGTAAATTGACAGCGTAGGTTACTGGATGATGTACTTTTGGTGTGATAAGATTGCGCGATCATGCTGCTATATAATACTGTATAGAAATATAATGGAGATCTGAAAGTTCCAAAGAACAATTAGGATTCAAATTAAATTATGTAGCAATACATGAATTTAAAAATTATTACCCTCTGGTTTGATTTTCTTTCCAAATTTCATGAAGCTGCATTTTTGGAGAATCACATTCTCCATCAGATAAGAAGATAACAATATTTGTTCTAAAAAAGTGAAAAATTTTAAGGTTGTGCTAAGTATACTAATAACTTATTTTTTTTGTTGAAAACTAATAATACCTTGTGAAATAATAATGAGATGAAATCAAAGATCCAGCTTTCTGAATTGCGAGTTCGAAACTCTTTAAACCACAAGGTTGGTGTTCAATCATTTTATCTAACAAGGTCTTCGGATCTTTTAGATCTTGATACTCAAACGGAACGATAACCTTTAATTATTTAATAATTAGTATACTGTAAATATTAAAAATTAATAAAATTAATAGGTCTAAATAATAACGAGTAAAATCAAACCTCGTGATTAAATAAGATCAAAGATAATTTATCATGTATGACTTGATGTTGATTTGTTTGAACAAAATTCATACGTGCATTCATAAATTGATACACCTAATATTAAAAGTTTAAATAAAGGCTAGGTCTTACAAAGAAATTAATACAACCTTTAATCATACCGCGTGAAAGACTGCGCTAAGCCTATTATGACCGTTAGGATCCCAGGACGTAAAAATGTTGCATATTAATTGGTCTTGAATTGGTCTTGCCATAGAAGATGAACGATCCAAGACAAATATAATATGAAAAGTTGCACGTGAACTTGGATTCTCACAATTAAAATGATGTCGATCTTTGGATATATATCCAATATCATTAGGGGGATTTGAATTCGGATCAAGTTGAGCATGAAAAAGAGGTAATTCACAAAAAGATTCGCTTGTAGATCTCTCAGATTTATGATGCCTTTCATCGGGACATTCATGATCACATTTCGCAAATTCTTGTTGTATTTGAACAGAATAAGGATCTAAAATTTAGAAAAAAGCTAAATATGTGTATAAATAAAGTAACATACAAAATTATTTAATATGTATTACCTTTAAAACCCATTCGTTCCCAGAACAATTTGTGAGAAATGTAATCTTTTGGTTTACTAGGATTATGTTGCACTTGTTCTACGATTAATAAATAGTTAACATAAATGCTATTACGTATGAAAATAAAAGCATAAATTACCATTAATATGCTGGATATCTTGTCCTTGACAAATAACTGGACTTTGACAATAATCAATATGACGGTGTCTTCCTAATTCTTTACAAAACTAATACAGGAATTTCTTAAAAATTAAAGTCGCAAAATAATAATATAAATAAAAAATTATGAAGTAGCATACCAGGTTACAAAGAACAAAAGTTCCTCGATCACCAACTCTTAACTTATGTCTAATTAAAAATCTTTTAATAAAAATACAATATATAATTATAATTAATCACGCTATATCACTTTATACTATACCCTGCATATTCAAATCCATTATCTACACTAGTTAACTCAGGTTGTATCATATTTCCATGTGATGTGCTATGTATTTGCGTGTGCCCATAGGGTAAAGTACACTAATTTAAATATTGTATTAGCATATTATTATAAACAAACAAAGGATTTTTTTTTGCGATACACACATAATATTCACAGAATTGGCATTTTACATCACAAAAATGAAAACCATATTCTTGTGTAAGGTTATCATTTGTAAGATGCGTATGCTTTCCAGTATGTTGAAGCCGTGATCCGTGACTGTGCTAAAATTAAGTCATGTGATCTAAATGATCGACATAGTTGACGAAGTTGACGA